GCATAAATGTATAATGGCATAAATGTATAATGGTTATAAATGGTAATGTAATGGCATAAATGGTATAATGGCATAAATGTATAATGATAAATGGTATAAATGCCATTATGTAACTTGTAACTTCCTCTTGGTTTATAAGAATACTCAAGGGTTATAATCATAAACATAATTTTTAAAAGGGATGGAATGGTAAGAGTGGAAGGCCTTCGGTAGATGAAAAGATCCAGACTAAGGGTATATGGCTAAGAGCTTATGGAAACAAATTGTAAATGATTTTGAAAAAAAACTAACTGCATAAAGATGAATTAATTTAGATGTGTATGCTCATGTTCTTTGCAAAATTGATATTAATAACTGGAAATGTGCTCACCGATCTGCTTCAAATGTACAACGCTGGTGTGTAGCAATTACAGAAGGCTTCATGTGAATAGGAAGAGTGTCGGATGCTTCTTTAGGTAGAGTTGAAATTACCGAAGGTGATATTTAACCATGTATTATGCCTACATTTAATATTACTGATAATATATTAATATTTCTGAAATACATTAATATTACTGATAATACATTTAATATTATATTGGTATGTAAAGGTGAACTTTGGTTAATTTGATATTAAATAATGCTGGAAGGTAGAGGAGGCTGGGCTTGTAAGATGTAGGGGAAGCGGAGATACTGTTCGTAGTTATCACTAGCATTTGCCACTTATTGGGGAATGTGGAGATAGACAGTATAATAACTTATGTGATATGTTAAGATATCTTATCAATGAAAATAAAATATCTGATATATTAAGCTAATTTCTTTAATTTGTTTGTAACAGATTAGTGAACTGTAGGTATAAATCCAGATGTACTCCTGTTAACCCTTTAGCGGCCTAGTTCCTAGGCCTATTGTGTACTCAAATTCTCTTGTGCTACCATCCACAGGACGAATATGGGGTACACAGTAAACTAGCCACTACCCTCCACAGGATGGATATAAGGTACACAATAAACTAGCCACTACCATCCACAGGATAGATATAAGGTACACAATAAACTAGCCACTACCATCCACAGGATGGATATAAGGTACACAATAAACTAGCCACTACCCTCCACAGGATGGATATGAGGTACACAGTAAACTAGCCACTACCATCCACAGGATGGATATGAGGTGCACAATAAACTAGCCACTACCATCCACAGGATGGATATGAGGTGCACAATAAACTAGCCACTACCATCCACAGGATGGATATGAGGTGCACAATAAACTAGCCACTAATATCCACAGGATGGATATGAGGTACACAATAAACTAGCCACTACCATCCACAGGATGGATATGAGGTGCACAATAAACTAGCCACTACCATCCACAGGATGGATATGAGGTACACAATAAACTAGCCACTACCATCCACAGGATGGATATGAGGTACACAATAAACTAGCCACTAATATCCACAGGATGGATATGAGGTACACAATAAACTGGTCGCTTCGCCGGCAAAATCTTTGTATCCAGAGACGACATCTCAGTTTCCAAGAACGGTTACTGAACGAGGACTTAAAGGAAGATCAATTGACCAATAATTTCCCTCGATTGCGTGGAAAATACGCTACCTACAGCCTTTTTCTTCCGCTCGCTTGAGTTTCGTAAGTAGCCACGACGCCGTCTCAAGAGGGTAGTTGTTTCTACAGTAGCCTTCTCACACCGAGGCAGGGTGGCCCGAAAAAGAAAGAAATACTTTCACCATTATTCAGACTCTCACTGACCTTGCAAAGGCACGCAGATATGATAGTTCATGTCACTCCAACCAGCAAATATCCCAATCCCCTCCTTTAAAGTGCAGGCATTGTAAATCCAACCTCCAGGACTCAAGTCCGGCTAACCGGTTTCCTTGAATCCCATCACAAAATATTACCCTGCTCACACTCCAACAGCTCCTCAGGTCTCACTCATTCCTATTTAATACGCTCACACATGCCTGCTGTATGTCCAAGCCCTTTGCACACAAAACCTCTTTTACCCCCCTCCCTCCATCCTTTCCTAGGCCGACCCCTCCTTCCCTCTACTATAGATTTATACACCCCTGCGAGTCATCATATTTTCCTCATTCATTACCACTGTAGCTTGTTCATTACCACTGTAACTTGTACATTACCATTGTAACTTGTTCATTACCATTGTAACTTGTTCATTACCATTGTAACTTGTTCATTACCACTGTAACTTGTTCATTACCACTGTAACTTGTTCATTACCACTGTAACTTGTTCATTACCACTGTAACTTGTTCATTACCACTGTAACTTGTTCATTACCACTGTAGCTTGTTCATTACCACTGTAACTTTTTCATTGCCATTGTAACTTGTTCATTACCACTGTAACTTGTTTATTTCCATTGAAACTTGTTCATTACCACTCGTCACAGCCAGCGTGCCCGTGACGAGCTCTAGCTCAAGTCCCCTCATCTGTAAAAACTTTGTGGTCACAGTGGCGCCTATCCTAACCTTCCTATGGTGTATAAATATACCTAAATGAATGAATCTTATTATAGCCAGCTGGCCCAGTGACTAACACGTCGGTCTGAAGTTTTATGACTCAATCACCGCGAGTTCAATCCCTTCCCGTACCATGGTTTGACTACACGAGGTAAATAAAGATTGGGTATCACCTGGTCACCACTTGTCAAAAATACTTTAATTTCTGTAATAAAGAATACAGTAAACTCTCATTGTATATACACTGAGAGACAAACCTCTCAGTGTGTATACAATGAGAGAGATACATCTCTCGGTGTGTATACAATGAGAGATATACATCGCTCGGTGTGTATACAATGAGAGAGACACTTCTAGTGTATATATAATGAGAAACAGTAATTTCTTCTTGTGTATATATCCTGCAACTGTCATCACAACTTACGCAATATTCAACCTTCAGTGAAGGTAACTAACTCACCGCACTGCCGTGGCCAGCAGTGCTCTCCAGCACCTCGTCCTTTACTACTACACAAAACTGTTTGTTTCTAAGGACTTAGTCACAGCAGTGAAATATAGTCGTTTACAGTGCCGTCCTTACCCTACCTACTGGACCAACTGTGTCCCTCACAGTTGGTCCAGTAGGTAGGATAATTAATAATAATAATAATAATAATAATAATAATAATTATATATATATTATTATTATTATTATTATTATTATTATTATTATTATTATTATTATTATTATTATTATTATTATTATTATTATGATTCACTGGGAAATGATAAAAGAGTGAGAATCAGGTTCGACCTAAGTAAGGAAAGGTTGGGCAAAATTTCCAGTATCAAGAGCCCCCTCACATGCGTCAGGGAACCTCCCTTAAGGGGCGAAATCCCCCCTTCCCCTGACAGCACTGTTCATGCAGAACGAGAAGGTTGCCTAAGCCACAAATTTCCTGCTCCTCCCAAGGCCACTAAGTCGGTGGCCGCAGATAAATCCACAAAACTGTAATATGGCTTATCGAAGTGGTTTAAAAAATACACCTGCAGCAAAAGAGAGGATTTTAATTGCTACCTTTCGCCCACAAAAGCTTTATGAGGCGTTGGTAAAGCCTCAGGTAGGCAAGGAGTCGTGATTAAAGCAGGCCTACCTTGGCTATTTTTGTCTAGCCTACCAGGCAAATGCGTAACCTTTCCCAGCGTGATGAAGCCGGCTTTCATTTGGACAAATTTTCGCTCTATGTAAAGCTTTATCAAATTATGTTTCACTCTGTAGAGCTTCATCGACTCATGCTTCACTCTGTGACTTTATCAAATCATGTTCACAGTGAAAAGCTTTATCAAAACATGCTTCAATCTGTACGGAGGATTATCAAGACATGTTTCACTCTGTGTAGAGCTTTATCAAGACATGTTTCACTCTGTGTAGAGCTTTATCAAGTCACAAGTCTCGGCAATGATTTGATAAAAGTCTTCACAGCGATACTCTGGCCCTTCTAAGGGTGGTTCTTCAACACGTGTCTCTTTTCTGAAGTATTACCAGGTAGTATGACCTTCAGATCTCGCGTTCCTTGAATATTCTTCAGAATAAACATCTTAATTTCATTCCTTATCAAAATACCTATATTATACCCGTTCAAAATAGTTTTCGTACGTGTTTCCGACCTTCGTAGATCGAATCACATACTTCGTCTAACTTCTATGGGCTCTCTAAACATTTCTTCTGTGGGCCCCTTATGCCCACAGAAGAAATGCGTAGGGGATCACTATTTGTTCTCCGTCGGAGTCTCCTACAGCATCATCATCTGCCCCTCCGAAGTGTTTGGGTGTTAAGCAGAAACACAAGGGAACTTTTACAGAGAACACTGGGAAATATATTTTAAACAATGATAGCGTAAAGGTTATAGTGAGGAAAGTATTAGAGCGTTCCAGAGGGAGAAAATTAGGTAACGCTTAAACACAACGAACCTAACAAATATAGGAGCACAAACAAGGTAGCAGGAACTAATAGGAAGGCGAGGGCAAACAGGTAAACAAATAAATATAAGAAATAAGTTGCTAAAAACAGGTTTTTATCGAGACAGCATTTCACTCTATAGACTTTTATCAGACTCTCCACTGAGCAAAATATCGTTCCAAGAAATATTGTGGTGTAACGTTCGCTTATTTTACATGAACTGTCGGCAGTACCTCACGTGAAGCCGAGCAGAGAAGTAATAGCAGAAAAGGACGAATGATTTAGACAAGCGCGGGAGAATCCGGGGCTTGGAACCCACCACGGTTGGATAATCAGAAGCGACAAAAAACCGTAAAGGAAGGACTTGCGGAACTCCAGCTCAGTCAAGGTCTCTCTTACTGTCATGACATGCAGAATAGAATAATAAGTATTGATTCGCATCATACAGTCGATACACAATACACACTTAATACATTCATTATCGTAGCTTATGCTGGTGTTGTGATGGTGTTGTATCGCGATGGTGTTAGAAGGGCAATAAATTCATAGTCTTACCCTCACTTACAGCTGGAAAACATGACACCTTTAGCTCTAGGGGACTATAAGTGCCGGGCTCACAACGAGGCAGGGGAAGACAGTGCCACCATCACCGTAGAGGCCACCCCTGGCCCCGTCCAGGTGCTGGAGGCCTCCCCTACATCCACCTATGGCCTCTACAACATCACTTGGGAGGTAGAGAGCCTAGCGCCTGTAGATTACTACTTCGTCTCCTACAATCAGGTGAGTTCCTGCAGAGAGTTCAGGCGAGTCCAGTGAAATCAGATGTACAGTATGCAACTACTACTATTACTGCTACTACTAATACTACTACTACTACTACTACTACTAATAATAATAATAATATGATAATAATAATAACTTGATACAGGAAGGCAGTAGTGAGGTGGAAAGAAGGACTGTGAGCTCCACACCACAGATAAACAGAAGTGGTACCCACTACACAGAGAGCACCCTGGTGGACCTCACCCCAGGGATCACGTACCACCTGACGGTGCGGGCCGTGGCCAAAGGGCATCTTCCAGGTCTTCCTATGGAGGAAAATTTCTTCTTTACAGCCTCTGATCCAGCTTCCGCCCGTGAGTGTTAAAACTTATGTTTGTGTATAAGAAAAATCCGTTGTTGTTTACTGAAGAAATGTTGTGAAAAACCGTACCCTAAACGACTTACATGTGACATCCTAAGAGTACTGCATGTGATATCATCCTAAAAGTCTTACATGTGACATCATCCTAAAAGTCTTACATATGACATCATCCTAAAAGTTTTACATGTGACATCCTAAGAGTCTTACATGTGACATCATTCTAAGAGTCTTACATGTGACATCATAAGACACTAACATGTGACATCTCCCGCAGATGAAATGAGTGACGGGACCTGGAATTTGTTGAAGTCAGCACTTACCGTCATCTCCCGTCTACCGAAAGTAGTTAGGGACATGCAGTAGGTGAACAGGTAAGTGACAGGGAGCAGGGAAACATATACGTAAGGAGAGTAGGGAAACATGAAGGTAGGGAGAGTAGGGAAACATATACGTAGGGAGAGTAGGGAAACATGAAGGTAGGGAGAGTAGGGATACATGAAGGTAGGGAGAGTAGGGAAACATGAAGGTAGGGAGAGTAGGGATACATGAAGGTAGGGAGAGTAGGGATACATGAAGGTAGGGAGAGTAGGGAAACATGAAGGTAGGGAGAGTAGGGAAAAATGAAGGTAGGGAGAGTAGGGAAACATGAAGGTAGGGAGAGTAGGGAAACATGAAGGTAGGGAGAGTAGGGAAATAAGAAGGTAGGGAGAGTAGGGATACATGAAGGTAGGGAGAGCAGGGAAACATGAAGGTAGGGAGAGTAGAGATACATGAGGTAGGGAGAGTAGGGAAAAAATGAAGGTAGGGAAAGTAGGGAACATGAAGGTAGGGAGAGTAGGGAAACATGAAGGTAGGGAGAGTAGGGATACATGAAGGTAGGGAGAGTAGGGAAACATGAAGGTAGGGAGAGTAGGGATACATGAAGGCAGGGAGAGTAGGGATACATGAAGGTAGGGAGAGTAGGGAAGCATGAAGGTAGGGAGAGTAGGGATACATGAAGGTAGGGAGAGTAGGGAAACATGAAGGTAGGGAGAGTAGGAAACATGAAGGTAGGAGAGTAGGGAAACATGAAGGTAGGGAGAGTAGGGAAACATGAAGGTAGGGAGAGTAGGGATACATGAAGGCAGGGAGAGTAGGGATACATGAAGGTAGGGAGAGTAGGGATACATGAAGGCAGGGAGAGTAGGGAAAACATGAAGGTAGGGAGAGTAGGGAAACATGAAGGTAGGGAGAGTAGGGATACATGAAGGTAGGGAGAGTAGGGAAACATGAAGGTAGGGAGAGTAGGGATACATGAAGGCAGGGAGAGTAGGGATACATGAAGGTAGGTGAGAGTAGGGAACATGAAGGTAGGGAGAGTAGGGATACATGAAGGTAGGGAGAGTAGGGATACATGAAGGTAGGGAGAGTAGGGATACATGAAGGCAGGGAGAGTAAGGATACATGAAGGTAGGGAGAGTAGGGATACATGAAGGAGGGAGAGTAGGGATACATGAAGGCAGGGGAGTAGGGATACTTTGAAGGAGGGAGAGTAGGGAACATGAAGGTAGGGAGAGTAGGAAGCATGAAGGTAGGGAGAGTGGGTACATGAAGGCAGGGAGAGTAGGGGATACATGAAGGCAGGGAGAGTAGGGATACATGAAGGTAGGGAGAGTAGGGAAACATGAAGGTAGGGAGAGTAGTTTAGCTCTCCTTATAACCAGAAACAAAACAACAACAACAACAAACAACAACAACAACAAAACAACAACAACAACAACAACAAAACAACAACAACAACAACAACAGCAACAACAACAATAATAATAATAATGATAATAACACTAATAATAATAATAATAATAATAATAATAATAATAATAATAATAATAATAATAATATTTTTACCCCTTTCTACTTAGATCCTCATCGAGTGGTTCAACAGGGATACCTGTGACTAGCTTCCAGGTTGTTTCTGCTGTTGACTGCCTGTTCAACGAGGCTGTTGCTGTTGGCGACCTGCCGGCACCCATCTAACGACAGGTTATTTAAGAGCCGAATTTGGCATTATGGGCGGTGGCACTGTAATTGGTGCAGTGTAGCACATTGTATTTGGGTGTGACACTGCATCTTGGGGTGGCACTGTACCTGGGGTGGCACCGTACCTTGCTGTCTACTTTGCTATCCTGTCTACTGTCGACAGTTGATGAATTAGACACACGTAGAACACTTGGTTAACTTTACTGGCTTCATCAGTCCTAAACAAAGAAGAATGGGGAAGATCGGAAGGAGTTTGAGGTAATCGGTTGTGTTTGCGGGGTTAAGGTTCAGCTCTTGGCCCAGCCTTTTAACCTTAAAAACTTGTTGGTTTGTAGTGGTTGCTGGTCCTTCTGGGCCCTATCGTACGTATCCTTCAAGCTGTGTATGAAATATGTGCCCTCATGGGCTCCACTTTTTGTAAATTAAAAAATACCTTTTATATTTACATGAGATTTACATAATATATTTACATGAAATTTACATTATATATTTACATTAGATTTACATAAATATATTTCGATGAGATTTACATAAATATATTTCGATGAGATTTACATAAATATAAATGCATGAGATGTACATATATTTACATAAGATTTACATATATTTACAAGAAATTTACAAATTTACATGAGATTTGCATAAATATATTTAAAAAAAATATTATAATTATTAATAGTGTGTGAGTCTAGAAAATAGGATAGGAATTAAATAGAAAAAATCCATTTTTTGGCACTTTTTTTTAATCATATCAGGATAAATTTTGAGCTATGGTGCCATTGTGACCCCCTAGTGTATTTCTGACTTATGGTGCCATTGTGACCCCCTGGTGTATTTCTGACGTATGGTGCCATTGTGACCCCCTGGTGTATTTCTGACGTATGGTGCCATTGTGACCCCCTGGTGTATTTCTGACTTATGGTGCCATCGTGACCCCCTGGTGTATTTCTGACGTATGGTGCCATCGTGACCCCCTGGTGTATTTCTGACTTATGGTGCCATCGTGACCCCCTGGTGTATTTCTGACGTATGGTGCCATTGTGACACCCCTGGTGTATTTCTGACTTATGGTGCCATCCTGACCCCCTGGTGTATTTCTGACTTATGGTGCCATTGTGACCCCCTGGTGTATTTCTGACTTATGGTGCCATCCTGACCCCCTGGTGTATTTCTGACTTATGGTGCCATTGTGACCCCCTGGTGTATTTCTGACTTATGGTGCCATTGTGACCCCCTGGTGTATTTCTGACTTATGGTGCCATTGTGACCCCCTGGTGTATTTCTGACTTATGGTGCCATTGTGACCCCCTGGTGTATTTCTGACTTATGGTGCCATTGTGACCCCCTGGTGTATTTCTGACTTATGGTGCCATTGTGACCCCCTGGTGTATTTCTGACTTATGGTGCCATTGTGACCCCTGGTGTATTTCTGACTTATGGTGCCATTGTGATCCCCTGGTGTATTTCTGACTTATGGTTTCCATTGTGACCCCCTGGTGTATTTCTGACTTATGGTTTCCATTGTGACCCCCTGGTGTATTTCTGACTTATGGTGCCATTGTGACCCCCTGGTGTATTTCTGACTTATGTTGCCATCGTGACCCCCTGGTGTATTTCTGACGTTTGGTGCCATTGTGACCCCCTGGTGTATTTCTGACTTATGGTGCCATTGTGACCCCCTGGTGTATTTCTGACGTATGGTGCCATTGTGACCCCCTGGTGTATTTCTGACTTATGGTGCCATTGTGGCACCCTGGTGTATTTCTGACTTATGGTGCCATTGTGACCCCCTGGTGTATTTCTGACTTATGGTGCCATTGTGACATCTGGTGTATTTCTGACTAATGGTGCCATTGTGACCCCCTGGTGTATTTCTGACTTATGGTGCCATTGTGGCACCCTGGTGTATTTCTGACTTATGGTGCCATTGTGACCCCTGGTGTATTTCTGACGTATGGTGCCATTGTGACCCCCTGGTGTATTTCTGACTTATGGTACCATTGTGACCCCCTGGTGTATTTCTGACGTATGGTGCCATTATGGCCCCCCTGGTGTATTTCTGACGTATGGTGCTATTGTGACCCCCTGGTGTATTTCTGACTTACGGTGCCATTGTGGCACCCTGGTGTATTTCTGACTTATGGTGCCATTGTGACCCTCTGCTGTATTCTTGACTTATACATCTACATAATACACGATAGTTCTTAATCTAGATAGTACCCGATAGTTCGTATCTAGATAATACGCAATAATTCTTAATCTAGATAGAAGCAGATAGTTCTCAGTAGATAGTCTCAGAACGGACTCGCTAGTCTTCTACTGTCTGACTTTCCCATGTACTCTTATGTACTCTTATATACTCAAATGTACTATATAATTATATGTGTTCCTATGTACTATCATGTACACCCATGTACCTCTATATACTCCCATGTATTATCATGTACACCCATGTACTCCTCTGTACTCTCATGTACTATCATGTACACCCATGTACCCCTATGTACTCCCATGTATTATCATGTGCACCCATTTACTCCTATGTACTCCCATGTACTATCATGTACACCCATTTACCCCTATGTACTCCCATGTATTATCATGTACACCCATTTGCTTCTATGTGCTCCCATGTATTATCATGTACATCCATGTACCTCTATGTACTCCCATGTACTATCATGTACACCCATGTACCCCTATGTACTCCCATGTATTATCATGTACACCCATTTGCTTCTATGTGCTCCCATGTATTAAACATGTTCATCCATGTACCTTATGTAATCCCTTTTATTTATGTTTCCCCACCCATGTACCCCTATGTTTCTTCCCCTGTTTTCTATTTATTTTACCCCCCATTTACTCCCATGTCTCCAAAGTACTATTTATGTACCCCTCTGTACCTTAAGTTTCCCATGTACTATCATATAAACCCCTATTTCTCTATTTTACTTCCATGTTCCCATCCTATACACCCATTTTACTCCCCTGTTGCCTGTTTTTATTTCTGTATGCTTCTGTTTTTCTATACCCAAAAGGGGGTTTTAGTAAACCAAGTGATCGAATTTTGCCGCCCCCTATCTGATTTGAAGTTTTTTGTGTGGGGGGCGCCCCAAAGTTCAACAAAAAGGATATTCAATGTTGCCCCATATGTCTCACTCAAATTTTTGTTTTCCCAAAGTGTCTACAGTGTATACAGTGTAATACGTGTTTTTCAGTGGGGTTCAGGGGTGATACAGTGGTACAGTTTTTATACTTGTACTACGTGTTTCTACAGTGTACTAAAAGTGTATTCAGTTGTTTTACAGTTTTACTACAGTGTGCTACAGTTTTTCTACTGTGTTTTTTTTTGTGTACTACGTGTAACCCAGTGTCTACACGTGTACTCGTGTGCACAGTTTTATACAGTTTTTAAATTTCGGTTCTCAGTGAAATACAAATGTGCTTCAGTTTTACTACCCGTGTACTACAGGTACTACAGTGTGGCCACGTGTACTTTCGTGTACTTTCATTTTTACTCAGTGTACTACAGTGTTTCTACGTGTAATTTCAGGGTTTTACAGTGTATAAAAGTGGGCTACAGTGTGGCCCACAGTGTACTACAGTGTACTTTTCAGTGTACTACGTGTACTACAGTTTTCTTAAACTTTGGTTTTTCCCCAGCCCGGGCGGGGGGCCCCTTGGGAAATAAAGAAGTTCAGCTTTTGGGCCCCCCCAAACCCGGAGGGGCCCCCGAAAACCCCCTTTTTGTCCACATTTCTTAAAAAAATTTGGGGCTTTTGTTGTTAAAAAGGGCGTTTTTGGGAAAGGGGCCCCCCTAACAGTTCAAATCTGTCTGTTTTGTCCCGTCTGTCTGTCTGTCTGTCTCTTCCCCCTCTTTCGTTTTGTCTGTCTGTCTTTTCGGTTTTGTCTGGGCTGTTTTTGTCTTTTGTCTTTTTCTCTCTCTCTCTCTCTTTTTTCTCCTTTCTCTCTCTCTCTCTCTCTCTCTCTTCCCCTCTTTTTTCTCTCTCTCTCCATCTTCTTCTCTCTCTTCTCTCTCTCTCTCTCTCTTTTTCTCTCTCTCTCTTTTCTCTCTCTCTCTTCTCTCTCTTTCTCTCTTTTAAAAACCCGGGTTTTTTTTAAAAGGTTTTGTAAAAATTTATTTACAAGTTAAAAAGTGTTACCTACCAGCATCATCTTTATCTCTCTCTCTCTCCCCTCTCTCTCTTTTTCTCTCTCTCTCTCTCTCTCTCTCTGGTCGTTTTCTCGGGCTCTCTGTCCCCTCTGTCTCTTGTCTTCTGTTCTCTGTTCTCTGTCTCTGTTCCCCCGTCTACCCCTTTCCTTACCTCTTTCTTCCCCTCCCACCACAACCTTTCTTGCTGTTCTCTCCCTCCCTCCCCCCCCCCTTTTTTGTGTTCTCTCCCCACCCTCCCCCCCCATTCTTGCTGTTCTCTCCCTCCCCCCCCCCAAATTTTTGTTTTTTCTTTTCCCTCCCTCCCCCCCCCCATTCTTGCTGTTTTCTCCCTCCCTTCCCCCCTCCCCTTTTGGTGTTTTCTCCCTTCTCCCCCTCCCCCCTTTTTCTTTTTTTCCTCCCTCTTTTCCCCCCCCCCAAAATTTTGCAGGGTTTTCTCCTCCCTCCCCCTCCCCATTCTTGTGTTCTCTCCCTACCTCCCCCTCCCCATTCTTGCTGTTCTCGCCCTACCTCCCCCTCCCATTTCTTGCTGTTCTTCCCTACCTCCCCTCCCATTCTTGCTGTTCTCTCCCTACCTCCCCTCCCCATTTCTGCTGTTCTCTCCCTACCTCCCCCTCCCATTCTTGCTGTTCTCGCCCTACCTCCCCCCCATTCTTGCTGTTCTCTCCCTCCCTCTCCCTACCCCATTCTTGCTGTTCTCTCCCTCCCTCCACCCTCCCCATTCTTGCTGTTCTCTCCCTCCCTCCCCCTCCCCATTCTTGCTGTTCTCTCCCTCCCTCCCCCCTCCATTTTGCTGTTCTCTCCCTCCCTCTCCCTCCCCATTCTTGCTGTTCTCTTCCCTCCCTCCCCCCTCCCCATTCTTGCTGTTCTCTCCCTCCTCCCCTCCCCATTCTTGCTGTTCTCTCCCTCCCTCCCCTCCCCATTCTTGCTGTTCTCTCCCTCCCTCCCCCTCCCCATTCTTACCTTCCACCTCGTGATATAAAAAAATAATTACATTACTTCCCTGCAAACCAGTAAGTCCCAGATACGGTGTTGTTTATTTAATAAAGATGTGAAATATTTACTTAGTCGATTTTTATTGGCCTTCCACGACGACTTAGTTTTATAAAGTAAATAGGTACCTGGGTGTTAGCTGACTGGTGTGGGTCGCATCCTGGGGACAAAATCTAATTTGCGCAAAGTACTCTGCATAACAAGGGTCTTTCTATATAGTATGTCACTGATGTCAGCTATGGTCTGTATAAGTTGTACCATGTACTTGTAAGATAAAGATTATTGTTATTATTATTATGGTTATGAATTTTCTATAAGTCTGCGATTCATTATTATTATTATAATCAAGGGGGAAGCGCTAAACCCGGAGGATTATACAGCGCCTGGGGGGGATGTGGAAGACATTCAGGCTTAATTCGGGGAACTGGAGCACAGATCCAATTCCCTAAATCAAGAGCCCCTCACCAACATCAAGGAACCTTCCTTGAGGGGTCTGCGATTCAGAAGTTTTTCAGATATCAGCGGGATTGTCAGTTTGACTCAGTGATAGTATCTATCTCTGCCTTTTGATCTCAGAATGTTGTCAAATCATACCACGGGCTGGGAGGGACCGACGTGTTAGCCACTGGACCAGCTCGTTATAGTAAGATTCACCCGACTTGTATTTGTGGTCACAGTTTTGCCTATGGTAACCTTCCTGTGGTATATAAATATATCTAGTTGGATGTATCTTACTGTAGCCAGCTGGTCCAGTGGCTAAGGCGTCGGTTTGGAGTTTCATGACTCTCTGATCGCGGGTTCTATCCCGCACCCGTGGTAAGGTTTGTTTGCAATCGTGTCATTACGATTTTGTGAGTCAGAATATTGTCTTTAGGGATATATCCCTGTCTACTGGGCTTATTTTTTTTTTATCCTACTGTATAACCTTCGTGCTGCTATAACGCATATTTCTTCCATGTCTGATGCCTATTTCGGTGTCGTCTCCCATTCTCAGACCCCTCAAGGCTCTACGTGGATCGTTTACACACCGTTCACCATTATCCAGCTGGGAGAATAACAACAGATTTAGCAAGGTGCTTGTGAAGAATTATCCTTGAAATCAACAGTCCTTTTGTCTTTGATAGGTTGATGTATACGATTGTTTGATTACAGAGGAACCATCAATAGTGGATGGTTCCACTGTGATCCTGCCTCCTCCTGCTTCAAGTGGAAGGTTCCACTGTGATCCTGCCTCCTCCTGCTTCAAGTGGAAGGTTCCACTGTGATCCTGCCTCCTCCTGCTTCAAGTGGATGGTTCCACTGTGATCCCGCCTCCTCCTGCTTCAAGTGGAAGGTTCCACTGTGATCCCGCCTCCTCCTGCTTCAAGTGGATGGTTCCACTGTGATCCCGCCTCCTCCCGCTTCACAGTAGTTGGTTCCACTGTGGATCCCGCCTCCTCCTAATTCAAGTAGATGGTTCTCAGTGATCCCGCCTCTCCTACTTCAGTAGATGGTTCCCACTGTGATATCCCGCCTCCTCCTGCTTCAAGTGGATGGTTCCACTGTGATCCCGCCTCCTCCTGCTTCAAGTGGATGGTTCCACTGTGATCCCGCCTCCTCCTGCTTCAAGTGGATGGTTCCACTGTGATCCCGCTCCCTCCTGTTCAAGTGGATGGTTCCATGTGATCCCGCCTATCCTGCTTCAAGTAGATGGTTCCACTGTGATCCCGCCTCCTCCTGCTTCAAGTAGATGGTTCCACTGTGATCCCGCCTCCTCCTGCTTCAAGTAGATGGTTCCACTGTGATCCCGCCTCCTCCTGCTTCGAGGATCCTTTCCGGGGTCGAAATAAACAGATCAATTAACCTGTGTTTCTGTCTCCATGTGGATTATTATCCAGCACTGACAAGTGTACATTACACTTAATTCATGTTGTGCTGTACATTCCATTACTGTGTTGCTTTGGGAATTATAGATGAAGACTCTCGTGTCACGCGCATCCTGTGTGAACACTCTTCCAGGTTGAGATAAATAGTATAAAAACACCGACTTTATCAAATCACAAACAAATATTTGTGACGATAAAATCCACTGTATAGTGGAATGTTGCTAAGAAAGGACAGCATTATACTGCATTTGTGTATATTTTTTTTGCATTCGGTATTTTTAGGTGGTATACAAAGCCCGAGGTTATCTCAGCTCAAATGTTAAAAATATATACCAAGTAGGACTCTGGGGGCTAAGATCACAGGTAGACATAATTCGTGAGACTTCCGCCAGAGGGCAGGCATGACTAGCAAGAAAATTGCTTGAAATTGAGACTGACAATACCAGATAGTTCATTGACGCTATATATTACGTAGGTCACTAATTGTACTTTATGTTTCCTGAAGGGAGGACCTGTCTCGTTTCCCCCTCAGTTCACAGTTCGGGGGAGTGAGGACAACGGATTAGAATAGATTAGAAAAACGACAGGTTGAAAATGAGGGAATAGTGCACATTTAGGAATCTTATTAAAGAAATGTTTCTACAGACAGTGGCTTCTCATGCCAAGGTAGGAAAGTGAAAGGGGAGGTGGAGGCGATTGAGGTTAATTCAGTCCCTCAGCCT